GCTGAATTAGAGATTTTTTACTATTGAACATCTATTTTCCTATGGACTGGCCCTCCCCAACCTATTTCAACGGCACTTGACCCCCCTAATCCAAATTTTCTGCCTCCGCCACCGGAGACATCATTCATCGTCCGTGGCGAGACTTTGACAACATGAAACACGATAGTTTGATGCGGTAACACGTTCTACAAGACAGGCACTCATTTGAACTCAAAGTGACAACTAGTTCATGGTCCAGAGGGAGAGTGAGTGAGAGTGATACTTGGCAAAGTGACAACTAGTTCAGTACTTTAACTCCTAAGAGTAAATTGCAGCACAAGTTGCATCTGGGCCATGAACTAGAAATCTGAATAAGCGTGGTAAATCAATATATTCCTAGTCTCCTTCCTCTCTGCCCTTGTGGTGCCAGTGGGCCTGCCATCATGCCACCTGGTTCCAGGGCTATCTCATATAGGCCTTAGCCCCCCTATCCTACCATGGTTAATAACATCTGCATGGTCTGAAGCATCACCATTTTTCTAAATCAAATAGGTACGAGAGTATAACTTGAGATGTTATTAGTCTAGTGATGAAATGCCGTTTAGCTGATCAAGTGCAAAGAGCACCCTCAAGTGAAAGGTTGGGTTCAGTCATTGCACTTGGAAACTGGAATCTCTGGATGACTGCGTAACCTACGTGAAGGCTTGCATTGATGCCTAATTCAGAGATGCCAAGACTTCATGCTCTTAACTGAAGAGTATCAATCTCAGGTATGTCTTCTGTGTTCGTCTATCACACTGTCCTGTGATTTCTAGGGATGTCAAGTTTGCTCTCTTGTGCGGATCTCTGATTTTGGGCTTGCAGAGTGGCTTTTTGAAAAATCGTGTCGTGTTCCCCATTGAATTACGATAGCCTAATGATAATTCCATATTAGCCAGAAGACCAAAACAGTAGTGTGATTGTTGTTTTAACTGTAACTTTACACCCTTAATACAGGCATATGGCTCCAGAGTACTTGCATGCATGCGATCATAATGAGAAGATTTCTGTGTTTTCATACGGACTTTTGCTTCTCGAATTGTCAATCCATTCTTGATCAATTGCATAGGCAAAACCACTGCTTGATTGAACAACATGAAAGAGCCAGTGGACCCTTCTCATGATATTGCATATTACCCAGAGAAGAACACGTGCCCCAACAGTTGCATTCATGTGCATTCACCACAGCGCAAGTTCACGGCCTTGTATGAAACCCGTGAGTGAGTTATACATATCTGCCATTTGCAAGTGCAAATTGAGCATCAATTTGACGAGGTGGTATGCTGGTTGTTGGTTGCAGGTACTCCGTTTCTTGGAAGGTAGATAATCACTTGAACAGATGTGAGGACCTCAACTCCCAAAGCTCCACATGTTCAACTCGTGATTCAGAAGACTAGAATGGACTCGGACACTCTAGCTACCTTGATGATGTGGAATGCGGCACACGCAGGCTGCCTTGGAGCGGTGAAATTTAGTAGGAGTATATCTGTTGACAGGTTATTCCATCTTTTGTAAATCATCGGTCTCTACATTGTGATCCTCCAGTTTTTCATATGTTGAAGATTGCACGGATTTGAGAGACCAATCATCACCGCTGGGAATTTCCATTAGTACTCAGAATTATTTCCTGTTTCGTCACTGTGGACTTGTTTTCTCTGGACTGTTTTTACTTGTAGGGTCCTCTGTACTTGTTGATGAATAATTCCAGTTTATGCACGAACAAGTCGAGCACGTGACTATATACTTTGTACAGATGAATCTCATGATGTACTCCCTTTGTAAAGACATATAAGAGCTTTTATAGATCACTAGTACCAATGTACTATGCCCGTCTCCGGCACTAGTGATACTGTGATAGTGAAGAGATGTGCAGGGGATCTTTGTCGATCCTTTTTTTTTTGGCAAGACATGTAACATGCTACTGCAAGTTTCTCGGATGTGAGCTTAGTTCTTTGCATGTGTTCTTAGTTCTATTTGTGAATTGTTTCTTGCTTACTTTTTTTTTCATGTTATCGATAGCTAATGTTCATTCCTGCAGTTATTGTATTTATTAAAACCAAAGGCCTTGCCCTGATCCCATTTCTCAATGAATCAAAAGGACTTTGAAGATTCAGTGAACACTCAGGGATGCGATAGACATGACCAAAATAGCAACCGTTTTGCCAAGCTTGCAGTGTAGTGCGCCCCTTGATATCTTCAATTCTTCATCATGACTGCTCAAGCAGCTTAAATCTACCATGGTACAATTACCAGGACGCCCTACTTCTGGGCTGGTCCATGTGCAGGGCGGGCGTGCCCCTGCCTTTTTCTTTAGTTTTCTTGCTTATTTTTAAAAAAAAATGGGATTTCAAAGAAGAATCGGACTTTTATTTTTTTTTCAAGATTTTGAAAAAAAAATCAAATTTCAAAAAAATGTTCACGAATTTATAAATTGTGCACAGATTTCAAAAAATGTTCTGAATTCCAAAAAGTTTTCACAAATTTCCAAATTATTCCAGGATTTCGGAAATATTAAATTTTTTGGGTAATGTTCGAATTTTAAAAGATGTTCTTGAATTAAAAAGTTCACAAATTCAAAATTAGAAATGTTGGTCGATTAAAAAACGTTCCCAAATTGCAAAAAAACTGTTCGCCGATATTTCTTGAATTATATTTTCCCTTGAAATTAAAAAACATTCCGAATTTTAGAAAAGGAAAAAAAAAGAAGAAAACATCAAAAAGAAAACAAAAAAACGGTTTTTTTGAGAAATAAAAGAAAAACAGTTTTTTTTGAGACAAAAAAAAGCGCGATTGGTCACTATCTGCTGACCTACGCGGCAAATAGGATCCTTGCAATTACGGTAGCAAGGAGACCATTAGCTATCGGAAATTAGATCGTGCATGCTGGCCTGCCACCGAGGTCGAGCAAATATGCCGAGGAGCTAGTCGATCGCGCTTTCGGCATTTGCAACTCAATAAAGTTCGCGCAATACGTTGACCAACAGAGCTGCCTCGGGTGTTCTATTTTCAGTTTTTGAGTTTGTATTTGATTCAAAAATCAAATGTGTTCCAAATCCTTTAGGAAAATTTTACAGAGGCTCAATTTAATATTTTTGAACTTGAGGAAAATGATTTCTTGCCAAAATAAAAGACATACCTGTTTTGAAAATGGCATTTACTCCCTTTTGAATTTTGAATTAATTCAAAAATCAAATTCACACTAATCATCTTGGAAAATTTTATAGAGACTCAAATTGTTATTTGGAAATTTAAAACAATATTTAGCGAAAATTATGTATTTAAATTGTCACCCTATTTAGGGATATTAATTTATTCCCTAAATACTTTTAGGGTTAAATTTAATTCCCAATTTTAATTTAGTGTTTCAACAATGTTTGAGACTTATGGAATTATATCAACCCAAAATATTTGAGAGAAGGCACACACATTTTTAGCTCAATTTTGGCCTTTATAAGTAATCCCTGTATGACAATTTAGAGTTCTAAATAATTTCAAAGTTTTATTTAAGCCACAATTTCACTCAATTAAATCAACTGCTAGTCAAATTCAGCTAAGATCAATCAATCCAACGGAAATTTGAGAAAAATATATTAATTGACCCTAATATTTTTTAATATTTTAAATTTGGGGAAAAGCTGAGATGTGACAGATCCTTAGCTCCTCGTGATGCCATAGGAGCCGGTGGCAATGTAGACGTCGGCGGCGTAGCCAGTAATTTGTCAAAAACCACCAAAATTGCAAGCGACATACGAAAAAACCATCAAATCGTTAATGGTTTACAAAATTGCGGTGGTGCTACTGGGCGTGGGATGTGGTGGTGTGCCGCCACCCATGCCCAATCCGGCGGTGCATCCTCTATCGACACGCGATCCGACATGAATCGGTCATCAGCCATGGCTTTCAACGCAACACACGGACGTCGTCAGGCTCGGCGGTGGCCGCTCGGCAAACGCGTCGTGCGCCATGGCGGCCATCTCCGGCGACTTAAGCTAAGTCAATCCGGGCCTGAGTTGCGGAGTTACAGAGACTGAGGGGCACGTGAGAGCATCTACAACCGAGGGGTACATGAGAGCATCTACAACCCGGACGCATCTGCACGCAGTGATCAGCAAGTTCTTAAATTTGCATATTTGCATTCGGATATCTCATAATAGAAATTTTAAATCCATATAAAAGCATGCAAAAAACAAAATCGACGTACTAGGTAGATCAACTACTCTAGTTCTCGCCGGAGATGTCCACTATCTCTGTGCCGGGCTCCGCGTACATGGGCGGCAGCCGCAGCTTCGGCTCCTCCGCATGGGACTCCGCTTCGACCTCGTCGAAGAGCCATCGGTCACCGCCCGTTTCTGCCGGATGAACTGTCGGTTGGCCTCCACATAGGCCTCATCCTGAATGGTTTCCAAGATGGCCTGCTGCTCCGCCATCTCGTCCGCTTGAGCGACGGCGAACTCTGCCTGCGCGTCCTCCATGTTGAAGCCCGGAGCCGGCGCTAGCTCCTGCTCTGGCTGCGCCGCCTCGTCCGGCTCCTCCTCCTCCATCGGAGTCGACTGCTGCTCCTCTCCCTTCTCCTACTTCACCTGCTCCTCTGGCTTTGACGAGTCCGGAGGCAGCCTGGCAGCGATTCGGGCGACGCGCCTCGCCTCGATCTCCTGCTCGATCTGGTACCGACGCTTCGGCATGAGCATAGCTTAGGTGAAGCCAGAGAGCGTGGGAAGAGCGGCGAAGCGGGAGAGAGAAGGTGGATGAGTTTGGGCTGGCGGCGCAGAGAGGGAATAGGTGGATGGACTAGGGTTGGGAGACGCCGGCCGACTTAAATAGCGGGATTTGACATCGAGCGACGAGCCGGGGCGCCACCACGCGGCGTTCACACCCCCCACCCACCGGAGAAAACGCCCGTCGTAATCTAGGACCCGTCATCAGACCGACATGGCGGACGCGCCCGGATGCCTCATATCCGTCCTGTAAATAAGGGGTGCCGATCAGATGGGACGTTTGAGACCCGTTTGAGGCGTACATCTAAAACGAATTTTCATGACGGGCAGTGACTGGACCGTTCGTTCGGGTGTTTGAGGCCGGTTTGAGGTGCCCGTATGAGGCGGCTACTGTGCGTGGGTATCCTTCCTTTCCCCATCGGCGAAGAGAGCGAGAGGTCGACATCAAAGGAGTAGCGTTGCGGGCGAGAGGTCGGCATCAATCCCATCATCAAGGAGTAGCGCGGCGAGCGGGAGAAAGAAGTACGCGTCAGATGCATCCATGCATACAACCAAATCCATCGCTAATGCGAACAGGAAAAGAGAGAGAAATCCAGGCTTGTTGGATGCAACTGAGCAACTCACGGCATGCCTGTCTTTAGAGCTTCAGTTAGGCAGTCTGCGGCTGTTGCACTTGCACACGGCTGGCGCGCTCACGCATGACCATGGCTGGACAAGCGCTGCGGTCAGGGACACAGCCAGCCAAAGGGCGCCTGCTGCCTAGGCTAAAGAAAATCGATTGGCGACGGATGAGCACCTGGCGCGGCGGCCGCGGAACTCGTCGGTCGGCCTCCTCAACGTCACGATGCATGCTGAGCGGCACCGGCAGCCCTCCCGTCGATGCCGGAAGTGATCCCCTCAACCCAAACTGAAGCGTGCTTTTCATCCGAGTTAATATTTCACTTTGCTAGGTGGAAAGCAGAGTCGACCAAGCCACCTTCACTGAGATCAACCCAAATTCAGTCTTTATCTCTCGAGTATCAAGCCCATGCGTGCGCGCCTTGAAGGAACGACGGTGCTCCGCTGAACAGGATGGCTCCGAGGCAACCTCGAACTTCAAATCCATAGTGGATCCATCCACTACAACAACCACAGACCTCTTTAAGCCACGTGACTCGCCAATGGCGCCATCGAAGAGCCGGATTTGCTTTTTATAACCACCAATGGAACTTCGGAGACACAAATTGAAACTGTTCTGCACCTCTGATATGACAACTTCCACATTCGCCAGGACCGCATCATGGATGCGTGCTAACACTAGGTCAACCGCGCCGCAATCGCCATGGATGCGTTTTCTGAATGCACGATTCCATGTGCCTTGCAGGTCGCTTAGGGCTGATACACCGTCAATCAGCTGGTGATCATCATCTTCTACTCTGCCTGCCTTGATCCTCATGTCATATTCCAGTAGAATAATGGAATACATATCTATCCCTCGCTTAGAGCCAACCATATGGATGAGAGAACCCTAGAAAATCGGCACTATTTAGTTGCTCTTCATATGAAATTAAGAAACGGCTAAAGCTAAATATACTTCTCTTCAGCTGTTTTACTTGCAATAGCATTTACTTAAGCGATAGTTTACAATTGATGACCAAGATCTTTGTCATGTGTCAAACTGACTGGTTACATAATGCACAACCGTGTTCGCACCTGGGGGGTGGGGGGTGGGGGGGGGATATTGGTCCCTGGTATTTATTTGATATTGTTGGCGCGAACACTGTTGGAAGTTATATTCCAATGGAAATCAATACAGGAAACAAATACTCGCCATACAAAAAGTAAACATGCCACCTAGGATTCCATGGCCCTATTGGAAGTTTTCCTTTTCATCTAAGTGGAAATTATTGATGTTCTCTCTACTAGGAATTTTACTACCAAAGATTTTTGTTCTAGGAAACGCAAAGTAAAAGCGGGTAATTTCATATAACCCCCTAAACAGTGTACTCGCCAAGTTTACCCAAAAATTACGCAAAACAAGTCATTACAACCCTTGATGAAAATATTCTTTTCTTTTGCTTTCTAGAAGTCCTCTTGTAAGTTATTTTTATTCTGATAGTAGATAACATCATTACCGTATATAATAAATAAAACATAATTTCCCGTGACTTGCATAGGTTGAGCAACTAGACCTATTTTAACACTCATAATACAAAAATACCTGCTAAGAAATGAACTTTTATGAACTGATTTCCATAGCATAGGGCATGACGCCAACATAAAGGATAAAAAATCATTATGGAGTGAACTGAAACCATTCTACTCGCAGAGATGAACCAAACTAGTTCAGGCAGGTATCTGGACAATTTCCTCTGATTTGTTTGCAAAACCTAAAAAATGCAACCCCTGAGTGCTAATGCATCAGAATTTAACTTGTAAGAGTAAACCAAGTAAAGGAAAATAACCACAAGATTTCAGCAGAGAATATATCAATTCACCCCATAGCTTGAAAAATATGTAAAGAGAGATTGATCACTTGCTCTCATTACGGTCGGCAACATGATACTCCGCTTTCCACAAATGAGTGCCCCTGAACACAGAACCATCACGGTGCCTGCTTTCTGGAAGTATTTCCATGGGAATCACACAATCTTTTTTGTTAGACCTCTTTCTATCCTTGGTTGTGCTCCTTCCAATTTCCTCACAACCATAGATGTCCACAAGTTTTGCAGATGCATCATGTTTGCCAGCTACAACATCTGTAACCTCCAAGGCTGTGCCACTCGTCTCTACGTTTTCCATGCCTTGGCTGATGGCGGAGTGATCGTTGGCAGAAGAGATGAGCAATCCCTGGCCTGGCTCAACAGAGACTCGTCAACTGTGAATCCACCGGTGCTGGCCATGCTCCGGGATTCATGACGAAATAATCTATCACCAAAGAGCACCCAAATTAGGTCAGAATCCAGATACAAAACATAGCAACTTACTAAGGGCCTGAGCTTTGGCATCAGACGAGGAAAACATACTGGGAAACACGACGGGCAGCTGGATCGGGAGCCACCATGAGAGGGAAACCTCGCCGTGCAAGCGCTGGTGGCGCCCGGCAAGGCGGAGCAGAGGCCATGAAAGAGAGGAGAGGTCGCGAGGCAGAGGAGAGGCGGCGCATTCGGTCATAAGAGGTGGCGACGCCAGGTCGCCGGAGGAGATAAAAAATCGGGCAGAGGATTGGCATCTCAGCGCGCGGCGGCGGCGGCAGAGGTGCGGCGAGAATGGGGAGAGAATCATAGGATTTTTTCATATAGGAAAAAAAGACCCGGTCTCATAGGATTTTCTTTCCGGTCCGTGGCGTCGCAGAGCAGTTCCTGGCGCGCCGGAACGCGTCGCGGGTGAGATCAGGGTCGACGGCCTCGATCGATGGCGTTGGCGTGGCATCCACCGTCGAGGGAGATGCCAGTTTTTGAACTGGAGCAACGGCCCCCGCGTCGTCCGGACCTCGACCCTCGCCACCGATCCGTGGGGCCTGCGGCATCGTCGCGCTCCACGTACGCCCCTGCCTGTCCGCCGCCGCCGCCGCCGCCTGGATGCAAACCCTCCACTCGATTCTTCCTCTCCCGACCCAATGCGCCGCCTCTCCTCCACCTCGCGACCTCTCCTCTCGTTCATGGCCTCTGCTCCTCCTCGCCATTCCTGGTCGCCACCAGCGCTTGCACGACGAGCTTTGCCACTCATGGAGGCTCCCAGTCTAGCTGCCCCTCGAATTTATGGGTATGTTTAATTTTCTTGATCTGATGCGCGCCGTTTATAGTTAGTTGCCACAGTTTTGGATCTGGATCCTGACCAGATTGCCTTCTTATGCTCTTTGGCGATAGATTATTTCCTCATGGATCTCGGGGCATGGCGAGCACCAGCGGATTCAAAGGCGATGATTCAGCTAAACCAGACGCGCGATCGCTCATCTCTTCTACCAAGGATCGCTCTGCCATCAGCCAAGGCATGGAAACCGCAGAGACGAGTGGCACAACCTTGGAGGTTACATATCCTATAGCCGGCACACATGACGCATTTGCCAAAACTGTGGACATCTCTGGTTGTGAGGAAAACGGAAGGAGTTCAACCAACAAGGATACAAAGAGGGCATCGGTAGCAAGCGATGGCCAAGAAGATGATGTAGATGTACTCCCCATTGGAATGTTTCCAAAAAGCACACACCATGATCGTTCGATATACAGAGCCAATCATTCATGGAAAAGGGAATATAATGTTGCAAACCGTAACGAGAGTAAGTGATCAATATATCTTTACCTATTTCATTTTGTTACGGGCACCTTTTTCAAGCAATAAGGTCAACTGATGTGTTCTATGTTGAAATCTTGTGGCTAATTTTCTGTGCATGAGCAAGTTTCCTTTCCAATAGAATGAGTTCAGTTCAGTGCATAATGATTTTTATCCTTTTTGTTGTCACCATGTCCTGTGTTTTGGAAATATATTCATAAACATTCATTTTTAGCACATATTTTGTACCATGAGTGGTGAAATAGGTTTAGTTGCTCCCAACTATGCAAGATGGAAAATTATGATTTATTATTATTATTATTATAATATAGGGTATGATGTTATCTACCGCGAGAATAAGAAATTCTACTTGCAAGGGGGATTCTAGAAGGTGAAACAAAAGAATATTTTTCAACAAGGGTTAAAATGATGTGTTTTAGTAATTATTGGGGTATACTTAACCAATAAATAGTTTAGGGGGTTATGAAATAAAATCTGGGAGAGTAAAATGGACCTTTATTTATTGATGTAATGAGACGCTAGCCGCTTTTTCTTTGGGTTTCTAGAACAAAAACCTTTGAGGGATTAAAATTCCTACTAAAAGGAACATCGATAATCCACTTGGAAGAAAATGAAAACTTCCAATAGGGCCATGGAATCTTCTAGTGACACGCTTAATTTTTGTATGACGACTGTTGTTTCATGTATTGTTTTCAATTACAATTTAACTTATTTCTTTTACTTTTTTTGTGAAGCTCGGCTACCAGAACCCACAGATTGTGACATCCGCAACGGAAAATGCATTCGGCATATACCTAATCGCGTGTTACAAATTTTGTCATTAAAGTTGACTAAACTTACTGTGGATCCTGGCCCAGTAGAGTTGTATGGATACATAGCAGTGCGGGATTATATGGATACATTGCTTAATTATGTTGTCAATATAAGCAGGGATGATCCCATCATCGTGAAGCAGGTGCAAATCCATACTTACATGTGATTATTTCAAGCAATAAGTCTACTTAACTCCCACAAGTATAAAACAAGGTATTTGGCCCCTTGAAGCATTCAATATGGTTTAAAGTACCCACTGGGGGAGTTCTCACATTAGGTGGATGTTGCAGTGTGGGCGAAACCATCCGAGGGAATGATTTATACGGTATGGAATAAAGGGGGGGGGGGCTTTTTTTTGAACCGAACCAGCAGGAGCTCTGCCATTGCATTAAGAGGAGGGAACAACTGTACATCAGCTGAAGATCAGCTTACAGAGAAGGAGTAACCAAAACAGGCAAGAGGGCCATGAACAACCCTGTCGCCCAACACCTAAGCCTAACCCCCACATGCCTCAACTAAGAGGCGAAAGTCATCACTAGCAAGCCTGGCAACATCAGCTGCCGAAGTGCACTTTCCATCGAAGATTCTTCTGTTCCTTTCCAGCCAGATGTTCCAAAGAGCGAAAGATGCCATGGAGAGCGAGTTGTTCCTTGTTTTGTTGGGCTTGAGCTGGAGCAAAGCGCCCCACCAGGAGTTCACTGAGGAGGCAGCCAACGCTGTAGCTGTGAGGTCAATATGAGTAGCGCTCAGCGAAAGCCACACCTGCCTCACATAAGGGCACTGAAAAGAGAGATGTGCCGCCGTTTCAATCACCAAGTCACATAGTTTACACTTTGGATCATGTGGCCATCCGCGCAATAGCAATCTGTCCGCAGTCCAGTTTCTGTTCTGAAGCAGAAGCCAAAGGAAGAACCTTATTTTCCTATCTGTTTTCACCTTCCAAACACTGGCCAGCTCTGGTTGGTGCAAGCGCCCAAGGAACTGTGCATGGTACGCAGATTTGGCCGAGTACGAACCATCAGCTGACAGATGCCAGGCAATGCTATCTCTGGAGGTTGATAGTTGCACATTTTGGACCTTCTCCCAAAGTCCCAAGAATTGGTGGATTCCCTCGTGAGAGTTCATGCGCATTAATCCTCTCATCCAGCAACCATTGTGCAAGGTGTCTTTAACCAAGCTATTTTTCTTTAAGGCCAATCTGAACATCAAAGGAGCTACCATAGCCGGGGACTCGCCGTCCAGCCATCTATCCTTCCAAAACTTGGCCGAGCACCCATCCCCGATGGTGATCTTTGTGCAAGCCTGGAAAAGTGCCCTATCAGAGTTGTCACAAGGCACCGGAGTCCCCTTCCATGGTCTCTGAACATAGTCCCACTCCATCCACAGCCAACGCAAGCGAAGAGCTCTACCAAAACAGTTTAAGTCCTTGATACCGAGGCCCCCAGTCAACTTCGGAGCACACACTTTTTTCCAGGACACCATGCATTTCCCTCCATGGGCAACCTCTTCGCCAGCCCACAAAAAGCCCCGCCTCAGCTTGTCAATCCTCTTAATGAACCAAGCACTCAGATCAAAGGAGGTAAGGATGTACGTGAGAGTTGCTATGAGGACAAAATTTACAAGCAAGCACCATCCCAGCTTGGTCATGAGCTTCCCTTTCCATGGCTGCAATCGCCCAGCAAGTTTGTCCAGGGTAGGCTGCATGGAACAACAAGCACTCAAGTCTTGTGAGTTATCTGTACACACGCAGCAGAATGGTAGTTTGGATTGTATAGGCCACCATTGCACCAAGTTTTTATTGTGGAAACTTATAAATTGTGGAACTGAGTGAGTATATCATGCATTCCAAACAAAATCAAATAGAATAGTTCGCGCTCTTGGTTGCTACTTAACACACCAGCATGAATCATTGCATCACTATAAGTCATTTTGTTTTCTCTTCTCATTTCTACATGCTTATGTAAAAATTGGGATCCGAACACTGTTGTGCAGTATGTAAGCTGTCAGTTTGATATGTGGCAGAGATGTTGGTCAGCAATTGTAAACTATCACAAAATTAATGTTGTTCCAAGTAAAACAGCTTAGAGAAGTACACCCTCTGTTCCTAAATGTAAGATGTGCTTTGGTAGTTCAATTTGAATTGCTAAGACGTCTTACATTTAGAAACAGAGGTACTCCCCCTCCGTCCCATGATATAAGAACGTTTTTGACACTACACTAGTGCCAAAAACGTTCTTATATTATGGGACAGAGGGAGTAGTATAAAGCTTTAGGTGTTTCTTACTTCCATATGAAGAGCTACTAAGCAGTAACAATTTTGTAGGGTTCTCTGATCGCCATGGCTGGCCCTAAGCGAGGGATAAATATGCTTTCCACTGCTCTAGTGGAATTTGACATGAGGATCAAGGTAGGCAAGGAAGAAAGGCATGACTGCCAGCTGATCGATGGTGTATCAGACCTAGACGACCTGTGGAGCCCATGGGACTGTGCACTCAAATAC